TCATTCCCAGGCAGCATGGCGGCACAGGAGGACGGTCCAGCCGCCCCATGTGGGGTGGGCCTGGAATGTTTGTACCCAGCATTCTGTAGAACTCTTGGTCCTGTCTTAGTAATGTTATGTTTTAAATCAGGTTTTGTGTGCTGATCTGGCAACTTAATCCCCAACTGTACCCTTGTTTCCCTGGGAAAATGTTTAAGTTTTGAAGAACTGACCACTAAATGAACTTTTGGAATACCATACTTTCATAAATTGGTGCCAGCCTGTGTTCTGATAAGGGTGGTTCCTCTAGCTGCTCAAAAGGGCTTTGTTTGGGGTGGGAGTTGAGAGTGAAAAGGGGGTTGTAGGTTTTGTTTTAGCACTGAGAATTTTAATTCTATTATTTTTCCATTTAAACTTGAGCATTTTGAACATAGTGCAATGGCACAGAGCATGTATTTCAGATACAGACGATTTCATGAATCTGCGTATCAACAGCTGTGCACCTACGCTCAAGAAAGGTTCCTGTTCACAGGCATTTCTTTATGGCATGGAAACTAATATTTTAATCCATCTTTTCAAAGAATGTGCTGAGAATTTTAATGCAGGGTAGCTGGTCAGACTTAAGCTGGGGTATTGAGTCATGTTGAGCAAAACTTGGGTGTTTTTGTGTTAGTCATCTTTTAGAGTAAGAGGACTGACGAAAAGAGAAGATACTGCTTTAGAAATGCTTGCATGTTTATTTTCCAGGATATTACTTAGAATATATATTAACCAGGTTTCCAGGACAGTGAATGTTTACGGTCATCCTTGACCCAATCATGTCCACACTCCTTTGGGTTAAATTCAGCTAAATGAAGTGTGCATTCATGAACTTGGTGGAACTGTGTGGAACTTGTGTGCTGCAGGCCCTTGAATCCACACTGTGAAGCTTCTCATGGAACATGTCTGAACCTCTATTAATGTATGATTTATGTCTGTGTTAAATTAGGGCCAAGAACTGTAATTGGTGTTCCCCTGTCTGCATTAATGGTTCTACAGAACTCTTCCCTATTAGTAAATTTGAGTCAGATTAGGGAGTAGTAAATCTAAAGATAATCTTTAGAAATGACTGGAGCACCAAGTAAGTGAATATATAATTGTGACCAAAAAGGACATGTGACTACTCACTCAGATGCATCTCACATGGTGCACGGTGCTTCCGTCTACACCAGCATGAGTGAATGAAAATCACTTCCTCGTTGCGTTAAGATAGCATCACTGATAACTTTAAACTTCTAAAAATGATGTAAGGCATCACAACAGTGTGCCACTAAAAGTTAAACGTTGAGAAAGAAGACAGACATACCAAAAGTTTGATCAAAAGACTAAGATAATAATTTGAGATGGGTCCCTAGATAAATGTTTATGTCAGCTTTCTCACATTTTTGCTAATGTTTGCTCTCTTTCTAGTTAAAAACAGGCGTACCATTTAAGACATAGTACTTTCATCAAAAATAGGAACTTACCTATTGAATTGCCATTTTATTGAAACATCGTGCTTTACATTCCTGCTATACCATAAAACTTAACATGGAACAGAAACATAAAGCCTTGACCAGTTGGGTTTCTTGCATATTTTGAAACCAGAAGGCCATCCAGTGGTTTATTTACACACTAGGGACTTTGATGTTTTTATAACTCACATTGTCTTTTTATTCCATAAAGTAGAAATGAAAACTCTTCAATTTGTAGTTCACTAAATCATGAAGGACAAACATCCAAATAAGAACTTTAAGAAGTGATCCACCCCCTCAAGAGGTGATTTAACACGTAAACCTATTTTAAAGCCATCTAAAAGCTGATTTCTGATTTCCTAGAGAAAAGGGGTCTGCTGCAGCTTGAAACCAAACGTAGAGTCGGAAATACTGACACCCACAGGTCCGTGTATAATATTTATCCTTGCTTATGCCTAATTTAAATGTCTTTGGGTCCATATTTATTATCTTAAAGGACTCTGGATTTATTTTTAAAGAAGTTTGGGGCAAGAATACACTAGTTTAGCCAAAAACCCTTATCAGTATATTATTAAAGTTCTGTCAAGAGTGAGCTGTTAAGGGTTGTTTTATTTCTTACTTTCGAAACTGTAAAGTGGTTATATTACTTTCATAAATAGACTTTTTTATGCCTCCATGTGTATATACATTTAGAGAGAAGAGAGACTCTGAATGACTCATTCTAAAAGCGGGGGGTGGACTGTTTTTAACTTTTCAAATAGCTTTCTTTTCTCTTCCCATTTCTTCATTGAAATTAGCCAGTTATTGTACATAAAAAGTATTCCCTCTCTTTTAACTATTTCTGCTTGTTGCCAAGGTGTAAATCAGAAAGCCCAAGTTTCTCCCTCACTTCATAAGCAGCAGACTCTGTCCGTTCAGCCTCAGACACTTGGAACCCCACCAGAGTTGTAATGATGATGTCAGTTTACCAAGAATGCTCACATTTCTCATGCTGTGTCCACATTCCCTGGCTTCGAGCAAATGTACATTCAGAGCTCATTAAAGTTTTAGGGTTGGATTAAAAAAGCACGCCTTGTTCTCGGGTCCTCACGCTACCTTTTCAAAGTCAAGGACCCGCTTTCAGCAGCCTGACAGTCTACAGGTCACATGACACATTTAGCATCTGTTGGTGAAGGAAATGCAGTGTGACCAAAAGTTTATCAGGTGGCAACACCAGGAATCTTTGCTAGTCTAATGAATTGATATTTTATTAATCTAGTATCCCTTCATTCAGCAAATATTCATTTTATTTTATATCTGTATTTATGATATACTTATTTATACTGTTTCATTTTTAAATTTTTACAAATAACAATGACATCCACCTACTTTTGGGAAGAAGTACTTATATGTAGGAGATGTTAACTCAAGCCTACAGAACTCTCATATGTCTTAGTTCCTGACTAGCTAATTAGAAACCACTGTGCTGTAGATAATTATTTCTAATTATTTAATAAATGATTCTAGCCTTTAAGCCATAAACATTAGAAAAACCTGACAATGTTTGAAGATTATGTAGAGAAATGGCTGTAGTTGAAAGGGGTAGTTTCACTTTGTATATACCTGTCCTAGTGAACTTCGTGTACTTCTCATTTATGAGGAAGTTATAAGGACCATAAAGAGTTCGAGCCTTCCAACATTCAAAATGTGTTAAGTTCAATTTTATGGACTTTCAGAGAATGAAGTTTTGAAATAAAACCTGCTCTATTTTATATCTGCTACATTTGATCTAGCTATCCATTGTAATCCAAAGCAATGTATAGTTTTAGTCTGAAATGTTCTTCAAAGAGCATACAGTCTGACTAAACTTTCACAGGTAAGGCCTACATACTAGATAACTGAATGATTCTGGACAGTTTAACTACACGTTAAGAAAATTGAGCTAAGTATGATAAATTCTGTGCAATATATTTGTTCTCACACAGAATTCTTTGTAAATACTACACAGATGATGTTTACATGGATTTCTTCAAGTTAATGTACATTAATGACCTAATTAAACTAAAAAATAAAATGCCAGTTAATAATTACTGATATTGTAAATATATTTGATTTGTTTTATATCCTCTCATTTGAGTTGGTAAATTACATATTTACAAAGTGGAAAAGGGGAATTTTCTTTAATATTAATGTTTAAGTTAAGCTCTGGTTGACTTTCTAGCCTAATGTTGAATCTTGCCCACTTTTCATTTCTTTTAAGATATTGTGAGGTATAAACAGTGTTCTTTTAATCATCAAATTTTGATACATTCAAATAATGAAATTATTTGAGACAGACATATGGCAAAAACCAAGTATTGTTTATCACAGGTACAACCCTGGCCCTCCGTCCCTTTGAGGGGTATATGCATCCTTTTGGTAATCTCTAGAGCATTCCCTTGTGGCTTTTTATAAAAGTTTCAGAACATGTTTGAACCAGGCAAAATAAACTCTGGTTTGAACACAGAGACTTTTATTTCTATTGTGAGAAATAAGTGCAGTTTCCAAAAACAGTTTGCAAATTAGCGAGGAGGCCTCCATGTGTCTTTCCTGCCTTAGAATGCCTCATCATGTTCTTCGGAATTACGAGAGTAAATCTGGAGGGCCGGAAAGGGACCTGAAGTACAGCCATGTCAGACTCCCAGGTCTTCCCTTGCCTGAAATTAACTCATGGCAGCCACAGGTCAAAATTAGTGAATTGCTCAGTGTGTAGGTATATAGTGGAATACCACAGAGGCCTTCAAACAAATGAGAGAGTTACCTGGCTCAAAGAGGCCCCTGCAGAAGGCACCTGGCCAAGGCACCTGCTGAGCCACACGTGTGTTTGTCAGACATGACTACTGTCTCTCCACGGGGGGAACTGTCTCAGGAACCCTGTTGTACTTTTTCCCCTTGTATACATTGCACAAAATACTAAATATTTTTATAATTGACATGGATTTGGTCTTTCTGTGATTTGAAGTTAAAGTTGTTTGTCTTGCACATCCTATGGCACTTCTCAAAGAAGAAAAATTCCTTTTCTTCATAAGTCTTCCCAAATTGACCCAAATTCATTCTCTATTATCTAATTAATACATTAATTAGGTCCCTCAGTTTGCCTTTGAAAAGATTGTTTTTCTGCGTTTGGTTCCTTTTAAAATTTCTCTTTTCTCCTTATTTCCAAAATGAGCTCCCTTTTGTTCCTATGGTTCCTAAGCAACTGGGGTAGTCCAGGGACCCTACTCAACAAGGACAGGAGGCAATTCCCTTGGCTGCAGAACAGTACTTCCCATAGACCAGACTTGCAGCTATGTTGGTTTTTAATGTTCTTGTTCCAAACTTCAATTTTTATTCTCTCAACTCTTTCTTTTATCCTTAATTGTCTTAAATCACTTGTTTTCTTATTCTTGTATGCAGACTGCTAGCAGCTGGGGATGCAATGTATGCATATTTCCGTAAATTAAAGGCCTCAGACCAGGTGTCTTGGGGCAAGTTTGTATTAAGGCTTCTCCAAATTCTGTTTCCGAACAGGCATGTAGCAAGAACCAAGCCAAGACTGAGATCCAGTTGAACTGAGATGGTGCTGACTCCATGTCTCCCCCGTCCCCTTTAACCCTGGTGTCAGCCTCCTTCCCTGTGGGAGGGTCTTTTCAGATCTGCTGCTGTCTGCAAGGCATTCCCTCCCTCGCAGTCAACTCTGCTTTGTAAACATCTGATGTTAAGTTTGTGTTTGGAGGAACTTTATTAAATAAATTCTTGAATTAAATGCTATTAAGTTCTCAAAAATCCAATGATTTCCATGTCCCTTCACTTTCAACATATGAAACACAATCAGGAGTAATGAGTCAGTCATTTTTCTGGTTCCCATAATATTAATACACTAAAAAATAAGCAGAATAACAAACCGTGGGCTCTCCTGCCACCAGAGAAGAGCCCGAATCCTATGGCTGTATTGGAATGTTATTTTAATTTATGGTCCAGAACAAAAGAGCCATCAACCAGGACTTAGACACACTTTTCCTCTAGTAATACCTAACACTTTATAAGAGGATTTGCTTTATATTGGTGAAGCGTTTGCAGAATACTTAAAGGAATGCTCATAAAAAGATGGTCCAGGTATATTAAGAGTTTGTATTGATAAGTCTAAGCCAGTTAAGTCAATCATTTTATTTTGTGTGAAGATACACCTAAATGTTTGTATCTCATTGTTACATTTAAATTCTGTACTTGCTTGACTCTGCATCTTTTTCAGTTATGTTTATAATTAATTAATATATTGATGTTGATATTGTTGTCAGCTTTTGATAAACAGGGCAACTTATGTGGGACTCCCAGACTTTAACCCAAGTCAGAATTAAAATAAAAACCAGTCCAGGATACAGTATAAAGCAGACAATATAATCTAACTATAACCTAAGTGTAAAGTAGACTATGATCTCAGTAGAGAGCACAGCCCGTGTTGAGGCTGGGGAGAGGACTAATCTGTGCACCACATGCTCTCGGCCTTGGCAGGCCGGGTCCCGCCTCTGGATGCCTGGGCCAGCAGTGCCCTCGCCGCCTGATTCTGACCCAGGCCAGGTGCCCCCAGTGTCATTTTCATCAGCTTGGCAGTGTGAATCCCAGACAGAAATGCGTTAGTTACTTTTCATCCTAAGAGTCAAATAAGCATTTTTTGTTTGAGCAGATTTAACCAGAAACTGCCATTTCCTGTATTTAATCAAATTAGCATTGCCTTATCAAGTTTGTAGTGAGATGGCTTCTTAATGGTTTCCCTATTTGGTAGTCTACTTGAAGAACTCAGTATAGATTAAAATGGAATTAATTTGTCTTTTATCTTTTTTCATGTCATAATATTTTTTTCTACTGGCTTATCATTGAGTATTTTAACATACCAGTGAAAAGTTTTTGCCAAATTTTAGCATTGGTTTAGATTTCAAGAATTTAATTAGTTGAAATATGGTTGTTGGAGAAGACTTTCCATGCTATGGTAATAATACTGGATTCCTAACAGTGGCCTTCCAGCACATAGACATTTCATTAATTTGTAGTCATTTTTAACCTTTTTACAAATGCCATAACTACATAATTAGTCTTTCTCTGGGTAATTGAGAGTTAACTATACTTTGTGCACATGTTAGATTTGCTCGTATATTTTGCTCGTCTGACTTGCTAGACTTTTATTGTAGACTGTTGACCAGCTGTCTGACCTGCCACTTCATTATTACAAATTTATGTTTAAGTATATATGCATGTTTTATCATATGGTAGTGTTTTATTTTGAAAATGGATTTTATGTCAGAAATCCTTTTAACCGTAATTTTTATCCATGTAATTTAATTTCTAAAAAATAATTCAAGTAATTGGGCATTTCTAGATATAGTAAATTACTATTTACTCAGCATAGTAAGTATTTTTCCCCATTTAGCTTAATTAGATAAAATTTTTTATAATTTCCAAGAACACCCCAGCAGTTCAGGACCAGTTTTCAACAAAAATGTATTTGATCTAAGGCCAATTGGATAGCTGGGCCCAAAAAGAGATCAAATCCAAAAGAAACAATCTGGAAGACTGGGTCTGGAGGTGGGATGGGCAAGGCAGCATGGTTGTGTGAATACAATGCAGAGGTGTTATTAATAACAGCTGCCAAGCTGGGCATCTCCAAGAACCTCCTGCAGGGCAGGATGTGAGAAGACCGGAGCGGGATGCACGAGGCTCCTGGAGACCTGAGCCTTGGCAGAACGAGCAGGAAGCCATCCAAAGACTGCCAGCGTGCCCAGGAGGGGACTGGAGAAACCCCACGCCCCAGTACTGGGATGGAAGGGGACCAGGCAGCAGCCCTCTGTGCTCAGGCTTTGGGAGAAGGGCTGGGAGTAGGGGTGCCAGTGTGTGCCCTGGACTGCCCCCTCAGCAGCTGCTGGGCTGCATGGCTTGCTGACGATTGGCTGTGCATCCTGACTCTCAACACAGCTAGATAACCCTGAAGATGGCAGCCTCTCCTCCCTAGGAAGACAGCACACACCCATGTTAGACAGATGGTAACAAGTCATACTACAATACACAGCATGTTAGACAAACAGGAACGAGTCATACTAAAATATATAGCAGTGTGGAACAGAGGAGATTGATTATATGAAGTGCAGGTTTGGTTTGGCTCTCTGTTAACTAGCTTGGTTTAAAAATACTCTAATGAGAAATTCTAAAATTCATGTGGGGCCACAAAAGACCATGGAGCCAAATCAGTCTTTAGAAGGAAGAGCAAAGCTGGATCTCACAGCCTGATTTCAAAATGTATTACAAAGCTACAGTAATTAATGGGCAAGTTTGTATTAAGGCTTCTCCAAATTCTGTTTCCGAACAGGCATGTAGCAAGAACCAAGCCAAGACTGAGATCCAGTTGAACTGAGATGGTGCTGACTCCATGTCTCCCCCGTCCCCTTTAACCCTGGTGTCAGCCTCCTTCCCTGTGGGAGGGTCTTTTCAGATCTGCTGCTGTCTGCAAGGCATTCCCTCCCTCGCAGTCAACTCTGCTTTGTAAACATCTGATGTTAAGTTTGTGTTTGGAGGAACTTTATTAAATAAATTCTTGAATTAAATGCTATTAAGTTCTCAAAAATCCAATGATTTCCATGTCCCTTCACTTTCAACATATGAAACACAATCAGGAGTAATGAGTCAGTCATTTTTCTGGTTCCCATAATATTAATACACTAAAAAATAAGCAGAATAACAAACCGTGGGCTCTCCTGCCACCAGAGAAGAGCCCGAATCCTATGGCTGTATTGGAATGTTATTTTAATTTATGGTCCAGAACAAAAGAGCCATCAACCAGGACTTAGACACACTTTTCCTCTAGTAATACCTAACACTTTATAAGAGGATTTGCTTTATATTGGTGAAGCGTTTGCAGAATACTTAAAGGAATGCTCATAAAAAGATGGTCCAGGTATATTAAGAGTTTGTATTGATAAGTCTAAGCCAGTTAAGTCAATCATTTTATTTTGTGTGAAGATACACCTAAATGTTTGTATCTCATTGTTACATTTAAATTCTGTACTTGCTTGACTCTGCATCTTTTTCAGTTATGTTTATAATTAATTAATATATTGATGTTGATATTGTTGTCAGCTTTTGATAAACAGGGCAACTTATGTGGGACTCCCAGACTTTAACCCAAGTCAGAATTAAAATAAAAACCAGTCCAGGATACAGTATAAAGCAGACAATATAATCTAACTATAACCTAAGTGTAAAGTAGACTATGATCTCAGTAGAGAGCACAGCCCGTGTTGAGGCTGGGGAGAGGACTAATCTGTGCACCACATGCTCTCGGCCTTGGCAGGCCGGGTCCCGCCTCTGGATGCCTGGGCCAGCAGTGCCCTCGCCGCCTGATTCTGACCCAGGCCAGGTGCCCCCAGTGTCATTTTCATCAGCTTGGCAGTGTGAATCCCAGACAGAAATGCGTTAGTTACTTTTCATCCTAAGAGTCAAATAAGCATTTTTTGTTTGAGCAGATTTAACCAGAAACTGCCATTTCCTGTATTTAATCAAATTAGCATTGCCTTATCAAGTTTGTAGTGAGATGGCTTCTTAATGGTTTCCCTATTTGGTAGTCTACTTGAAGAACTCAGTATAGATTAAAATGGAATTAATTTGTCTTTTATCTTTTTTCATGTCATAATATTTTTTTCTACTGGCTTATCATTGAGTATTTTAACATACCAGTGAAAAGTTTTTGCCAAATTTTAGCATTGGTTTAGATTTCAAGAATTTAATTAGTTGAAATATGGTTGTTGGAGAAGACTTTCCATGCTATGGTAATAATACTGGATTCCTAACAGTGGCCTTCCAGCACATAGACATTTCATTAATTTGTAGTCATTTTTAACCTTTTTACAAATGCCATAACTACATAATTAGTCTTTCTCTGGGTAATTGAGAGTTAACTATACTTTGTGCACATGTTAGATTTGCTCGTATATTTTGCTCGTCTGACTTGCTAGACTTTTATTGTAGACTGTTGACCAGCTGTCTGACCTGCCACTTCATTATTACAAATTTATGTTTAAGTATATATGCATGTTTTATCATATGGTAGTGTTTTATTTTGAAAATGGATTTTATGTCAGAAATCCTTTTAACCGTAATTTTTATCCATGTAATTTAATTTCTAAAAAATAATTCAAGTAATTGGGCATTTCTAGATATAGTAAATTACTATTTACTCAGCATAGTAAGTATTTTTCCCCATTTAGCTTAATTAGATAAAATTTTTTATAATTTCCAAGAACACCCCAGCAGTTCAGGACCAGTTTTCAACAAAAATGTATTTGATCTAAGGCCAATTGGATAGCTGGGCCCAAAAAGAGATCAAATCCAAAAGAAACAATCTGGAAGACTGGGTCTGGAGGTGGGATGGGCAAGGCAGCATGGTTGTGTGAATACAATGCAGAGGTGTTATTAATAACAGCTGCCAAGCTGGGCATCTCCAAGAACCTCCTGCAGGGCAGGATGTGAGAAGACCGGAGCGGGATGCACGAGGCTCCTGGAGACCTGAGCCTTGGCAGAACGAGCAGGAAGCCATCCAAAGACTGCCAGCGTGCCCAGGAGGGGACTGGAGAAACCCCACGCCCCAGTACTGGGATGGAAGGGGACCAGGCAGCAGCCCTCTGTGCTCAGGCTTTGGGAGAAGGGCTGGGAGTAGGGGTGCCAGTGTGTGCCCTGGACTGCCCCCTCAGCAGCTGCTGGGCTGCATGGCTTGCTGACG